TCTTCTATCTCGTGTAAGATAATATATTAATTCTTTCATAACTTATATATGTATTAATTATGTGAGTTCCTAAATTACAAATCAAACATCGTATTAATTTTATACATGAATAACTTACTATCAAACGTTAATACAACTTATACATGAATTAATACATAGATCTCTTTACTAGCTACCAAACTATCCCTAATTTCTTTATGGAAAGTACAAAGTCACAAGGTGTTTTGAGTTAAAAGATGAAAAATCAAGAGGGTGCAGAATAACAAAAAAAAAAAAAAAAGTAGTACAGCACAGCAATGACCAGAAAGTAACGGTAACATGAGGTGTTTTTGGAAGTTCCTTAAGGGGTATTTCCGGAATATGTATACTTAAAAGAAAAAGTTAACGGACACTTTCACACACAAACTAAGACAAACAACACTAAATAAACCTTAAATTTAAGTAAAAATTCACTTTCAAAGAGTGGGTTGCAGGTGCTGCTCAATCTTTTTTTTTTCTCAATCTCTCTCTCTTTCTATATATGATACATATCACATCAGCTTGACTTCTCTCTCTCTCTCTCTCCAATCACCTTTTTTTTTTCTTATTTCATTGTCTTTGCTTGTTTACAGCTTTTTACTTTGTTATCTCATTGATTTACTAAAACCCCACTTGGATTGAACAAGTATACATCTTTCTTGATTCATTTTTCTGATACCCATTTGAGTTTTTAGTTGAAAAAGATTGTTTTTTTAAAGCAATGGCAGCTCCTCCTAAACCTGAAGAAATTAGTCATCCTCCAATGGACCAGCTTCAGGGTTTGGAGTATTGTATAGACTCAAATCCTGCTTGGGGTATGAAAAAGATTCAATCTTTTTTAATGAATGACCTTGCTTTTGTCATTACTGTTTGATTTCTTTGTGTTTTTTTTTTTGCATGAGATGAATCTGTGAGAACTGAATTTGGATGTGTGAAACAGGGGAAGCTATTGCTTTGGGCTTTCAGCATTACATCTTGGCATTGGGGACTGCTGTTATGATTCCTTCATTTCTTGTTCCTTTGATGGGTGGAACTGATGTAAGCTAGTTTTGCTCGAGTTTTCATTTTTTTTTCTTCTTATGTCTAACTTCATGTGTTTTCATTGATTGGAATTTGAAAATCATTTAACAAATTTTTCATGAATTAATTTTTTTTTATTTACAGTCAAAAGAATCAACTGAACTTTTTTCATGTGACTTGAATTTCAATGAACTTGGAGAAAGAAAAAACTTCTCCCCCATTTCAATTTGTACGGTCTTGACTTCATATGGAGTTTAAGAAAATAGAGAACTTTTTTGAATCTTTTGGTCACGTGGAAAGTTAGAATCAGAAATAGACAAAAGACAAGAAGAAAGTAGGACAAACAAATTTAAACAGAGTGAGTATTAGTATGAATTAAGAAACTATTGGTTTTTGGTTGAAGAATCTGGAGATTGATCATGTTGGTTTTTATGATTTCTGATTTTGATGTGCTCTTGTTTGGTGGCATTTTTTATTCTTAAATGTCAGGGTGACAAAGTGAGGGTGGTGCAGACCCTGCTTTTTGTTGAAGGAATCAATACACTCCTACAAACTTTATTTGGAACCCGTTTACCTACTGTAATTGGAGGGTCATGGGCTTTTGCGGTACCGATAATTTCCATAATCCATGATTCGTCATTGACAAGGATTACTGATCCTCATGAAGTAAGTAACTCTGAGAATAGTAGGTGATTTTGTTGATTAACTGTTCATAGTGATGTATGTAGTTTATTGATCGGACTTGTCACATTTGTGTCGTGCTGCTGATAATAATGATGTAGTCTGTATGATTAACTCAATATGCATCCATTTTAAAACAAAATCATCTTGTGAATAGAATACCCTTCGATGTAGATATGTGATTGTAGCGTTTTGCTATAGGGCAAGGTATATTTGCACTCTACACTGTCAAAGAGTGCAAATTTATTAGCCATTTCTCGACTTATAAATATTCTATTAGAGAAAACTTACAGTATTTCTTAATTTTTGTTTTTATCCTTACTTGTAGAGATTCCTTGGTACAATGAGAGCAATTCAGGGAGCATTGATAGTAGCATCAAGTGTTCAGATAATTTTGGGATATAGTCAACTCTGGGCTATTTGTTCCAGGTGCAAATTATCCCCAAAGATGAACTATTTTGTTCACTCATAATGTACTGTTCTCATGTTTATGGCTTCATCATACTGACTTGCTAATAACTTACAGATTTTTTAGCCCAGTGGGAATGGTTCCGGTTATTGCTCTGGCAGGATTTGGTCTTTTCGACAGGGGTTTCCCACAGGTAGGTTGAGGATCATCTACCGAAAACAAGATTATTGTTATCCATTGTATCAATGATGTACAAGTCTTGGTCAGCTTACACTGATTACTGCTTTGTGCTTGTGCAATTTTATAACAGGCTGGACAGTGTGTGGAAATTGGTGTACCAATGTTCATTTTATTTGTGATCTTCTCTCAGGTATGATACTTTTTTTGACCTTTAATTTGACATTTTTTGGTCCAAAAATGTGAACTAAATTCATATTTTTGGCCAGTCTGTCTTCTTTTACAACGATGAGAATTATGAAGAGAGTGCTAATTCCAAACTTTTCTGTCATCTGTTTCTTAAGTGTTTAGCAAGGGAACTTCAAAATGATTGCCTGATGAATTATTCATTTATTGTCCAGTATTTAAAAAACTTCCAGTTTAGGCAGTGGCCGGTGATGGAACGATTTGCTCTAATCATCACAATCACAGTTATTTGGGCTTATGCACACCTCCTGACCGCTAGTGGTGCTTACAGACATCGCCCAGACGCTACCCAAAGGCATTGTCGCACCGATAAAGCAAACCTCATTTCGACTGCACCATGGTTGATATTTCATCTAATTACTTTTCAGATGAATGTTGCTTGTATATCTTTCTAACCTGCAACATTGTTGCCTTAGACATTCTATAGTTTTCTGTAGGGTGTGATACACGACACATTTCAGTCTTGATCTTCCTCCTAAGTTTTTAGGATTAACGAAATTATAATCTCTACTCCACTTTGCTATTCAGGATAAAAATCCCATATCCACTTCAGTGGGGTGCTCCTACTTTTGATGCTGGTCATGCTTTTGGAATGATGGCTGCTGTACTTGTCTCCTTGATTGAGGTTAGCCCTGAATAAAATTGATACCTTAATCATACTTTTTCCATTTTGTACAGCACTGAGTCTTACTCTTTTGTCTTCAGTCAACTGGAGCATATAAAGCAGCATCTCGTTTAGCAAGTGCCACACCACCCCCAGCTCATGTTCTGAGTCGTGGTATCGGCTGGCAGGTTTGTGCAGTAATTTGTGACAAACATGCTATCTTCAGAAATTTGTATATGTTTGTGACATATCAATAAGTAGATGATTACCTTTTCCAAATCTCACCTCTAAAGTGTGTTATGTCAAGTGATTAAATCAAACATTCACTTCAGGCGGATATCGATAATACATAGATTCATGATCACCTTACTTATCAAAAAAAATAATATATTCATTCATCATCTGTAGTTGTACAATTTTAAGTGCAAAATGGAACCTCGTAGGTCGGTAGTGTTTATGTTAGGACTTAAACAAGAAGTTATATAATTCTAAGTGCAGAAAAAGTGATGTTGGCTTTTGATGATATTTCTTGAAAAAGAAACCACGGAAAAGCCTCATATTTGCATGAAATTTATGGAGATCTACAGACTGATGTTGGAACTACTTTTTTTTTTTTTGCAGGGTATTGGTATCCTGTTTAGTGGACTTTTTGGGACTGCTACTGGGTGTACAGTTTCTATGTTAGTAACTCAAGTCCTATATTACTTCTATGCAATGTGATTTTTATCTCTCGGTTTAACATATCTTTTATGGTTAACAGTGAGAATGTGGGACTTCTTGGAAGCACTCGTGTGGGTAGCCGCAGAGTTATCCAAATTTCTGCTGGCTTTATGATCTTCTTCTCAATTTTAGGTTGGTGATCTTCTGTGGACTCAACCAGACCTGAAAGAATCTTTCAGCTAGTCTGAACTTGCTCATAATCCATTTTTTGACATTTGTAGGCAAATTTGGAGCATTATTTGCTTCAATTCCTTTCCCAATATTCGCTGCTGTATATTGTGTCTTGTTCGGTCTTGTTGGTGAGAATCCTTAGCAACTCCACTCCTTACAACATCTTTCTGCAGATCTCTTTATCTATTTTCCCCATCTGACTTACATTTCTTTTATTTCCAGCTTCTGTGGGGTTGTCATTTCTGCAGTTCACAAACATGAACTCAATGAGAAACCTCTTCATCGCTGGTGTTTCTCTCTTCCTCGGGTTGTCTATTCCCGAGTACTTCAGGGAATACACCACTGCTGCATTTCATGGTCCTTCTCACACTAAGGCTGGATGGGTGAGTAAAATATATTATGATTAAGTTTCCAAACTTCTAATTGTATATTAAGTCATTAGTAATTGATCTGGTTCTCTTGGAAATATGCAGTTCAATGATTTTCTCAACACCATATTTCTGTCTTCCCCAACTGTGGCTATGATGGTTGCTGTGTTTCTCGACAACACACTGGACTACAAGGACAGTGCCAAAGATAGGGGAATGCCATGGTGGGTGAAGTTCAGGACATTTAAGGGTGATAGCAGAAATGAAGAATTTTACACCCTCCCTTTTAATCTCAACCGCTTCTTTCCTCCTTCATGATCATGTTAGCGATATATCTGGACCAGAAGGAAGGCGGGGAAAGTGAAATATGAGAAGAGTTTGATCTCAGGGTTGATCCCTAATGATATATTTGAATCAAAGAAAAAACTCTATGTAGGCAGTTGTGATGAAATTCTAGGAAGTAGACATCAGTTGACATGAATATTATTTATTCATTTATTTGTAGTAAAAAATGTCAAGGCCTATTTTGGCATAATGAGAAAATTTTCTTACTCTTACTCTGCTCTTCTCTGTGAGTACCTTTTCCCTTCCTAATTTTTGCGATAACAGAAAAAGTAAGAAGGAATTGTTGCAATGATAAAGGTGCTTTTTTATTCACCAAAAATTAGTGTCACAGTATGCATGGGACTAATTTCCTATCCTCCTGCACTTTTTCCCCTGGGATATGATACAAAAGTGGACAAACAATTCAATGTTGGGAGTATGAATTCGAGTTGTTGAGGGAAAACTATGACCACCCTCCCTCTAATGCCTGCACATGCACTCTTTGCATCTGGGGTGTCGATAAATGCTACGACCCAAACCTCTCACCTGCACTCTCTGACCTTCATCAATCATCTTTCTTATCTTCCCCTCGAAACTGTGCCATCCAATGGTCTTATTTCTTGACAAAATTGCAGAAAGCCTCTTCTTGCTAGGCCTCAATGTGGGAGCATGACCACCACCATAATATGTTCTGAACCCCGACACGAGGGATGATAGCTGACTTCCTGAGTCTGTCATGGCAAATACATCAGATGTTGCACACGCGATGAAATCTAATGCTGCAAGCTGCATTAAAAGTGATAGTTTTTGTTGTTAGAATCACACATAAGGGAGTGTGTGTGTGCTTATCCCCGTCACTTAAAATAGGAAACAACTTACTTGAGAAGAAAAGTTTCTAAATGGAGCTAGTTCACTTGGTGTGAGAAGATCTTCCTTGGTCACTAGGTTGAGATAGAGGGTAGTTAAAGCTTGCATCCTTGATTGACCTCCATATATGTCAGAACCAGCAAGATAGATGTATGTTCCATGTTTGAAACCGAGGCCAGCGAGAACTAGTCCTGCTTCTTCTGGTGTCAATGGACATTTGCCCGTCTTTCTTAGCTCCTGTGGAGAAAGAGGCCTGCAGACATCCCCAAAATATGGTCAATTGAACCATCACACAAACCATGTTACGCCAAATGGTGGAACTGATATAGAACATAAAATATACTTTGATTTCTTCAGACGCTCAAGAAGTAAAGGAAAATGGACTTCTCGATAAGATTGTAGTTCACTTCTCTCAGTTTCTCCGCCACCAAACTCACACATAGAGTAGGCCACCATATCAATCTCAAACCTTAAATGCAAAGCAAGGTACTTGGAAGGGCCTTCTGCTGCATGATAGTGTCTCAAGGGAACATGAGGGATTAAGTTTCCAAGAAGTTGCTTATCCAATGTGCTCCTAGCAAAATCATACCTCCGAATCCGCCTAACCAGTAAAGAACCTATTTGTTGGATCTCTGGCACAAATTTCAAGGCATGGAAGTTGCACTTGCACCTTAGTCTCTGCAACAAAATACAAATTTGTACTGTAAACAAGAACATAAAACCAACATACCATCATTGATAAGTTTTACAATGTCCTAAGCATTTGAAGCACAAACTAGACATTAACTTTCAGATGTCATTCCAAACTTGCATCTACCCTATAGACAATTGAACAATTTTAAAGAATGCTCTTCACCTGAAGTTCATAAGGCAACGGGTCAAAGCCTAGTCTATTTCCATATCCTAGAAAGTGAACAACTCGATTGCTTAAGAGGAGGGGTAGTATTTTCTTGATGTATTCATCAGGTGTAGCTTCCTTTGAAAGATCTGCATCAGTTATCTAAGCAAGGTGAAAGGTATCATATGTTATTGTCCAAGTCAATACATTTTCATGTTCCAACTTTCTAACTAAAGAAGAAAATAAGTTAGAAGAGAACATACAAGGCTTCCAGCTGCTTCCACATCTAGTAGTTTCAGATTAGGAGGGAGCTCCTTTATGATATTGACTTCATCCTTCAACATATTCATGAAATAGTCCTCTTGATATATATCCCCAAACTGGCTGTACTCACACAAAAAAAAAAGGTGTGAAAGCTTGCTGTTAAGTTAAACTAAGTGGTGGACGGGATGTAGGCTACTGATTACTTTGGTAGTAGCAAAAATCTTATGCAAAGAAGAAGAAGATATGCAATTGAAAAAAATGAGTCTATGTCTATCAACCCAAGATTTATGGAAAAACAAGAAATGGATCTTCTGTAGAAAAGTTGAAGCTCAATTGATCCCAAAAGTTAAAAGAGTTCAAGCGCGATACAATTTTCTTCAGATCAATGCATTAAATGTAATTCATGAAGCAAAACCTTTTGTAGAGCTTAATTTGAAATCTGTAACTATTTAATTGCTGAAACTAAAACAATTTTTTTTCTGAGAACTAACCTAGGATCCTTCCAGACATTGCTATAAAGAAACTTGGGAATGACCAAAGTGGCATTTAGGAGAGATGCTACAGCAACAGCATTGCAGACCTGCAGGCACAATTACAAAATTTCAATTCACAATCGACTAACCAAACATGACAGTCCTTATCAAGTAGACTCAACTGTACAACTTGGCTAAAAGTTGAAAGGAAAAACAAGTTTATACACTTACAGCAACTCTTTGTTGATTTAGTCCTCCGTTTGCACTGATCAATATATAACCAGTGATGTTTCTAGGTTTCCCTGCCCTGACAACTTACAACAATTATACCGCAATTCAACATTCAAAGGGAGAATCACACTTTCAAATATGATCAGAAAATTGAACAAATTAAAGATGTATATAGTAAACAACATAATTCATGCATGAGCAAACTATACATGAAAAAATATCCTATTACCATGTGGACTAGTTTTATCTGCACAAGGTTTCCAAGATGATGCCTGAGGATATGGCTCCTCCCATAACTTTGATGACTCTTGCTTGAACTCCCTCTATAGCAATTTAAGGAAATTCAAATATAAGATAGATGTTAAGATTGTCAGTTACAATCGTTTTAAATGCAATTTCCAAATGAAGTTAATCAAGTTAAGTATCACAACAACCTCTGCAAGAGAAGAAGCAGCCAGATTTAGTAGCCTTTCATACAGCTTCACCGGACCTTCTTTTGCTGACCTCGGTACCATTTCCACCTTCAGGTACAAAATTAGATAGCAAATTAAAATAAATCACCTCAATAGAGCTTATACTATTCAGAGAAGCATGTCTACTGGTTCCATTCGGTATATTAGGCACTTCAGCCATGTCATACCTCGGCCTTACTTGATCCTTGTAAAGAAAAATTATTCTGTAGCATCACAGGGTCAAAAATCGAGAACAGAAGAGAATCCAAAAGGTAAAGAAAGCCCATTAACAACAATGTGAAAAAAATAGACCTAATATGTCTATGCAGCCACCACATTTGCCTCTTTCCAACATAAACTCCTTTACAAGGAGTGAACTTCGCAGAGTCATTTTTCATCCCTTTGGTCAAAACAACTTTGTCCCAATTGTAATCTCCCCCTGATAACCTTCTTCCTATAAGAGGATCACCTCCGTATTGCATCTCTAAACTTCGAAATTCATTTTCTTTTACCCCAAATGATATATCTAAATCCTGGTTCTCCACTTGACGGCCTCTAGGAGACCCTTGTTTCCCCATTTTGTCACAACTAATATCTCAGAAAATTGGAGTTCAACTTAACAGAAGCAAAAATCAGTTACACTATCTCCCCAACTATATTACATTTGTTTTTGTGAAGACCCCATTTCAAGAATTAGTCTTCCATTGGAGTTTGTTGAAAAAGTTATAAGAAAATTAGATAAAACTGAAACGTCTCTATGCATGAATTGGAAGTAAAGTTAAAGAAATTGGTGACTGACACACACAAACCAAACCAACAATGGGTCATGAAAAAATAACGTATGAGTAAAATTTAAGGCATTAAAAAAAGTTGAATAGGACATATACAAAAAAAGAGAATTGTCATCTGCAACAACTACTTCTCACCAAACTGTGAAAAAGTCTGGTCTTTATTTGGTGTTCTTTACAAGGGAAGAACCCTTTACATGGCATCAGGGATTATTATAAGTACTGCAATTCTTTCATTCATATGAAAAGGCTTATATTATTGTTTTTTTTTTTTTAAATTCTCTGTCATTGGTGGGGTCTTTTTAACCAACTTTGGATACCAAACGGTTGGGTTTCCCCAATTTACTGTATTTTATATTCTCTAATTTTGTTGATATTTTCTTCTACCTCATTTTTATTTTCTACATCTTGTATACAAATAGAAAGATAAAGTTCTGTACTTCTATATTTTCCTATATCCATTGGCACAAAATGTGTGTGCGAGACTTTTATTATTTAATTGTATTCTCAACATAAACATCATAAGGGAATAGTGTTATGCAAGAGTTTTCCTAATTTTTTTCCTACGATACTAATTTGAATTATTCGTTGGATAATACCTAAATCTCAAGAGATCAATGTTCATGTCCAAGCCAAGACAAAATATATTACTCCCTGCGTTTCAACTTGTTTGTTCTATTTTCCTTTTTAGAGGTTGTTTGGATTGACTTAAAAGTTGGTCAAACCTATTTTTAAGTCAGCTTTTGACTTCTAGAAGTGTTTGACAAATATAACAATAACTTAAAATAAGTCAAAGAAGGACTTGAAATAAATTAGGAAGTGTTTCGCAAGGTTAAAACAAAAGTAACTTAAAATAAGTTAAAAACCAAAAGTAGGCCTTCCCTACGGTTTAATTTTTCGACTTAAAAGTCATTTAAGTTTGACTTAAAAACTACTTTTTTAAGCCAATCCAAACGGGCTCTTAGTCAGTTTTAAAAAAACCGTCTTTACTTCTTTGGCTACTCTCTTATTTCAACTTTCCACATCACATATTTAAGATTACAAGAGTAAAGAGAATTTTGACACATTCAACGTAATTTTAATTTAAAACCACAAGATTCAAAAGTCTTTTTACTTTCTTACACTAAGTGAAGTTAAAACATGACTAACAAATGGAGGACCGGAGTGGGTGATTTCTTCCATTCTAAGTATTAGAGGACAAAGTTACTTTATCTTTGCTTGTGTTGGTGAGAGGTAGCACATGAGATAGTTGAGATGTGTGTAAGTTGGCCACACACCACATCTTCTTCTTTTTCCGCTCAATTGAATGGTTCAGCAAGAGATGAACTTTCTAAAGTAAGATATTGAGGCCTTTAAGACTTCATATGTTCATGAGAAGTTCAATTCAACAACTTGACAGTAATATAAAAATATACAACCATCTTTCTCAATCCTTTAGTGATTTATTACATTTTCCAACATAGTTCTGACGTTCTTCAGTTGAGCAAGAACATGTTTGATATTCATTCTTTCCTCTGGCAAGTCTGAAGTGCACCTCAGAGCTAATTCCATGATGGATGATAAGAACTGCACCTTTCCTGTTTTGTTCTTCTCCCCTGGTATCATAAGCTCGGGGTCTATTATCTCGTCCATTCCGTGTGGCCATGATTGTCTTATCCACTCCCTCAGGCTTAAATTTTCAGCAAACATTCCATCCGTTGGTTTCTTTCTCGTAAAGGTTTCCATCAACATGACACCGTAGCTGTAAATGTCGCACCTTGTAGATACGAGTCCTTCCAATCCAAACTCTACATTGAAATAAAACAATTTATCAAGAGAATATGGTATCTTTAAAATGGTTGAAATTTGAAGGAGAAATGAAGCTTGTTGACATGATTATTACCTGGTGCAATGTATCCAATGGTTGCAAGTGTTTTGGTTTGTACAATACTTTCTCCTACCCCTAATAGCTTTGCCAGGCCAAAGTCACTCACATGTGCAACCATTTCTTCGTTGAGCAAGACATTGCTAGGCTTTAGATCACAGTGAACTACGGGCACAAAATAGCCTTGATGAAGATAGTCTAATGCTGATCCCACATCAATCATTATGTCTACTCTCTTCATTATATCTAAGGAACAAGTTTCAGAATGAAGCCAATCATCCAGGCTTCCCTTAGGCATGTACTCTAATACCAAGGCTTTGAAATCAATGCTGGAGCAACTATTGATGACTTTGGTCAGATTTCTATGACGAAGGTTGCGTAAGACTTCACATTCTGTGTCAAAACTCTTGAATGCGCCTTCTGTTTGCAAGTTGAATACCTTAACGGCCACTATAGTACTCCCAAATGTTGCTTTGTAAACAGAGCCATAACTTCCAGAACCGAGCAAGTTGCTTGTACTGAATCTGTCGGTTGCTTGTTGAAGGTCATGGTATGAAACTCTTCCATGTACCGTGGCTGGAGAGGCATCCGCCTGATGAGTAGCAATGTTTGTCTTCCTCTTTCGACTTCTAATCACCAAAAAGATGGTGAGCATGACTGAGAGCATTATGACTGAAGAAGCCACCAACAAGATCAACACAATAAGAAGCACCATCTTTTTTCTTTTCCTACTAGGAGAATTAGACCTACATGCTGGTATCTGCAACCTAGCAGCACCACATAATGCCTCATTTGAAAGGAATGAATCATAAGAGAAGTTCACGAAAGGACCTCCAATTGGAATTTCACCACTCAATCTGTTGTTAGATACATTAAGATAGTTGAGATGTGAAAGAGCTACCAATGATTTGGGAATGCCACCAGAGAGCTTGTTATGAGACAAGTCTAACGATTCCAAGGCGATCATGTTCCCCATTGACTCTGGAATTGGTCCTTCTAGTCTATTTTCTGCAAAAGAAAGTTCAGCCATATTTTGCATGCCTCCAATTGTGCTCGGTATACTTCCTGAGATTTGATTCTTCGATATATTCAGCAACGTTGCGACTTTCAGATTTCCAATTTCTGGAGGTAGAGAGCTTTTCAAGGAATTTGAGGATACATCAAGATGCAAGAGATCATTGAGGTTCCACAGGCTGGGAGGTATGCTAAAAGTCAATTTGTTGGAACCTAGGTAAATGTATCTAAGAGATGTAATGTTCCCTAAACATGCTGGTATAGAACAGCAAAGCTCATTATTTCCCAAGCTCAAGAATCCTAGTTTCTTTAAATTGCAGAGTTCCTCAGGGATAGGTCCACTTATCATTTTGTTGTCATACAAATTCAAGGCTTGAAGATTCTTTAAATTCCCTATTGTTCTTGGAATGAACCCACTCAAGTAATTGCCTTGAAGTAACAAGAAAGACAAACCACTTAAATTTCCTATTTCACTGGGAATGTAGCCTCTGATTTCACTATTAACAGCATAAATGTAGTCGAGAGAACTTGAGAGATTTCCAATAGAAGCCGGAAGATTTCCATTGAGTGGATTATAACCTATCCACAGTTTTCTCAAATGTCTGCAATTTGTCAAGGAATCAAAGAAAATCAATCCTGGAGATGAAGGCTCTCTTGTGAAATGATTGCCGTTCACGTTGAGGTACTCTAAACATCTTAGATTACCAAACGACCTCGGAAAATGACCAGAAAAGTCATTATATCCAATTCCAAGCCGGAAAATATTGGAAGCATTTGAGAGAGAATTAGGGATGGCTCCAGTAAGGTTATTGTAACCAAGATAAAGTTCTTCAAGATTAGGAAGACCAAGTCCTATATCTGATGGTAGACTTCCAGTAAAGAAGTTCCCTAAAAATGAAATGCCCCTTATGTTTGACATGTTGAATATTGTAGATGGAATAGGACCTGTTAAGAAATTGTAATGTAGATCTAATCTTCCCAAATTGAAAAGATTACCAATCTCCCTTGGTAACTCACCTGATGACATTTGAGCGACTCATTAGGATATGAAAAGCATAGGAACATACACCAAATCTTGGAAAAATAAAATGACAAGATGATACCTGTTAAGTTGTTTTCTCTTAAGAAGAGGTCAGTAAGTGAAGTGCAGTTTCCAAATTCTTTTGGAATGTTTCCACTGAATAAATTATTCCCAAGATCAAATGCTCTGAGATCAGGCATGTTCAAACATATATACCGGGGCAATGTGCCAGAGAGATTATTGCCATAAAGATTGAGTGATTGAAGTGAAGTTATGTTACTTATAGAAGATGGTAAAGGACCACTTAGGCTACAGTTCTGTGCATCCAATATCTCTAGATTACGAAGATTTCCAATCTCTTCTGGAATTTCACCTGCAAATTAAATCATAAATAGAAAGTTTACTTTCTGCAGTATATCAATTAAGGAGTGCATACATGACTCAAAAAATATGTTTCATGTATGCACAAAGAAGGAACCTAAAAGCAAATATGTATAACTCACCTTTCAAGTCATTACAACCAAGATATAAAATAGACAGCACATTCAAGTTCCCAATCTGTTTAGGTATCAATCCACTGAACTTGTTGAATGACAATGACAAAATCTGAAGCTTTGAACACTTATCTATCCCCAAAGGAATTTGACCATCAAATTCATTGTCAGAAAGTGCAAGCACCATAAGTTCTGGAAGGTTCAAGCATATATCGACAGGAAGATTTCCAGACAAACTATTTTTTGTCAAAACCAAACGTTGTAACGATGAAATGTTGTACAGGCTAAGTGGTACAGAGCCTGTTAGCTGATTTGATCCCAAGCTCAACCAAGTCAAGTTCTGAAGATTACCAATTTCATTTGGAATTTCCCCTTGTAACTGATTAAATCCCAAGACTAAACTCTCAAGTTTGGAAGCGTTACAAATATCTGGTGGAATAATACCTGTGAAACTGTTAAAAGCTAGATGCAAGTGCTGGAGTTCTGGCAAAAGAGAGAACCATGAGGGAATATCTCCTGTGAACTTATTAGAAGTGACATTTATAAACTCCAATCTATGCAAATTAGCCAACTCTCGTGGCAGAATTCCTTGGAAGCCGTTGCTACTGATATCGAGAGAAACCAAAAAGGACAGATTTCCCAAGTGAGGAGGGATGGTACCTATTAATCCCATATTGGAAATATCCAAGGTTATGATCCTTTGATGGCGAGAGCCACAGGTGACTCCAATCCAATTGCAAACGGAAGTAGTTGAGGTCCAGTTGCTTGTCAAGATATTGTAAGTATCAGAAGTAACATAGGATTTCGAAGCAAGTAGAGCAGCTTCATCAGTTTTGAGATTGACTTCTGCAGTGGCTGATAATATCAGCAAATGATGCCATATTACTGAAACTACAAGAGGGAAAAGGAAATTGATTTTTCTCTTCATGGTTGTGCATATGTTAGAATAGAATACCTTAGTGTTCCAGTAAACACTAAGGTATAAACCCCCATTACCGATAAATGATTTTAAAAATACAATTGAATAAAGAATTCAAGCAGTTGTTATTTTTAGGGTCAATCAAGAGAAATGGAGGAAAGGGACAAACAATGATGATGTTAGAGTTGAATTCATTAGTATTTTCCATCTTTCAAACATAATGGACTGATTGTCATTCTTGAATTCATTAACATATAAAAATAGGTAGTATAGAAACAGACCAAATAAAAGTCAGTACTGATTGTTAATTACTACTTAATTTAATATATCATTTTGAAAACGAGAGTCACCCTTTTGGACAAACATAACATGGCTTTTCCCATTTCTTGGTTATACCTCAATATGAACTCAGGATGGGTAATATTTACCAGTATGTCTACATGTTTGACTTAATAATTAGAATGGTCCACAACATTAGAATTCTTTAATCAAACTTAGCAAATTATAAAGAAGACTATAGTAATCAAGTATTTTATTATCGATTTCCCCTTATTATATAGATACATATTAATATAATGAACAGAAACAGCTAAGGAATAGGATATACTGCTAGTCAAATAACTGGATAGAGAAGCTGAGATACAGACAATCAATTCTTGGACTTTGAGCCTTAAAAAATCAGAAACTAATATGAACATGTCCATGAGTGGTAATGAACAAACTATTGGTTACAAAGTCTTTATGTAATTGTAACTTTAATTAGGGTTATTACAGAGTTTTACCATCTTTTAACCAGATTCTGTAATTTTTTTTACTATGTCGGATGTTAGTGTTCTTAACTTAAATTCAAAAAAAATAAAATTAGCTTGTTTCATGGTTGAATACTTATTGCAGTTTTTTCACAAATAACACTATTTATATAACACTAATTGCGAATATAAAATTTATTTCATGAGAATTAGGAAAAAGCAATATGGAACCAAACAGGCCAAAATTCATAAAAGGATCTCAATAGGAATAGGAAAATCCGATATTACATTAGTGTTACAGAAAAGAATCTTATGCAGCAAGAAAGGAAAACAGTCTAGGTATGCAGCTAAAAAGTTAACAAACACTTTCTATACCCTCAAGTGACATGAATCAAATGTTTTTATGTACTTGCAGAACATGAAAGAAGTTGAATCTTGATCTTTTGTAGTATTCCTACAACATCTTTCATGTTGATCCTTTCTTCAGGAGATTCTGCAGAGCAATCCAGTGCCACTTTCATGATGGATGCTACACAATCTATCTTGTCCATGAATTTTTCATCTTCTGGCGTTAGCAAATTCGCATCTACAACTTTGATTGTTGCCTCTGGGAGTGAATCACTCACCCATTTCTTTAAACTAAGATCTCCATCAAATATTTCATCGTTAGGCCTTCTCCTCGTAAATGTTTCCATCAGCATGATCCCATAACTATAAACATCACATTTTGGCGACACCAATCCTTCCCTTCCATACTCTACAATAAAAGCACACTTACGGTTTATCATAATATCATATAATCGAAATAAAAGGCAAACAAAGATAGAATACTGAAAAAAGAAGTATAAGAGATTTGATTTACCTGGTGCAATGTAGCCGAATGTTGCTAAGGTTTTAGTGTGTAAATCACTCTCATCTTCACTGAGTAGTTTAGAAATGCCAAAGTCACTTACATGAGCGACCATGTTTTCATCTAGCAAGACATTGCTAGGCTTCAGATCACAATGAATCACAGGTGCTGAGCAACCATTGTGGAGATATTCCAATGCACATGCCACATCTATCATTATGCTTAGTCTATGCAGGATGTCTAAGAAGTAGTTGTGTGAATACAACCACTTTTCAAGGCTCCCATTAGGCATGTACTCGAGCACTAAAGCCTTGAAATCAAGGTTGGAGCAACTGCTAATGACTTTGGTGAGATTCCTATGGCGAAGGTTGCGAAGAACTTCACATTCTGTTTCAAAACTCTTGAATGCACCTTCAGCTTGTAGGTTGAACACTTTAACTGCAATGGTAGTCCCATCTCTGAGAATTCCTTTGTAAACAGAACCAAAACTCCCCGAACCAATGAAATTACTCTCACTAAAATCATTAGTGGCTTGTATGATTTCATAGTATGAAATTCTTTCCATTGTAGCTAACAAATCAGCTTCAATTGGAACATTTCCTTCTCTTCTGTACCTCATCCACACAAACGCCAATGTTACAAAAACAATTATCACAGCTGCTCCCAGTAGAGGAAAGACTATCAGAAGTAACTTCTTCTTCTTTGATCTATGGTTTGAAGAAGTGGGGCACGGGAGGACACGAAATCTTGGAGCACCACACAAGGCTTTATTGAACATGAATGACTGGCTGGAAAGGTTCTTGAAAGGACCACTAAAGGGAATTTCACCCTGCAAGCTGTTAAAGGAAACATTGAAATAGTTGAGATACCGAAGCTTCTCTAAGGACATCGGAATTGATCCAGATAGATTGTTATTCGAGAGGTCTAGAAATTCCAAACTCGGTATGCTACCAATTGAGTCAGGTATAGATCCTTGTAGCTTGTTTTGTGCCAAAGAAAGGTGTATCAGATTTTGCATGTCTCCAATTTCTCTTGGAATACCATTTGAAAATTGATTATGCGAAAGATCTATACGAATTGCAACCTTTAGATTTCCAATTTCTGCAGGTAAAGAACCACTCATGTTGTTAGACGATAAGTTGAGCTCCAGAAGATCTTTGAGGTTACCTAAGCTTAATGGTATATTGGAACTCAATCTGTTGGAATTGAGTTTTATCCCCCTAAGGGAAGTAACATTCCCTAAACATTTGGGAACAAGTCCTGAGAATTGATTTTCACCCAAGTATATGTTACCCAAGTTCTGCAATTTACATAGGCTATCTCCAATAGATCCTTTTAGCCTGTTGTTAGCCAAAGACAATTCCTGAAGCCTGCCTAAGCGGTCAAGTGTCCCGGGAATCGGTCCAGTCAATCTGTTCCCATATAGATACAAGTAGATTAAGCTGCTTAAATTCCCTATATCATTTGGAATTCCACCTTTAATTTGACAATCAGAAGCGAAAATCTTTTCAAGAGAAGTTGAAAGGTTCCCAACTGTGGCTGGAAGCATACCATTTAGAGGGTTAAAGGAAAGACTCAGTTCTTTTAGATTTCTGCAGTTTGTCAATGAAGTTAAGAAGCTAAGTTCTTGAGAAGACTGATCACTGCTTAAATTGTTTTCCATCAAGTTTAGGGTCTCTAGGAGTGTCAAATCTCCAAGAGAGTTGGGAATCGAGCCGGAAAGTTTGTTCGTTGAAAGGTCTAGAACAGTTAGTTTTGAGCAATTTGAGAGAGAATGAGGTACAGTCCCAGCAAGGTTCGTTAGGCCACCTAGATAAAGAAGTTCAATGTTGGGAAGCATAGAACCTATATTCGATGGGAAGGTTCCCGATAGAGTACTATCTGTAAGATCAATCAATCTCAGTCCTGAGATGTTGAAAATCCCCATAGGAAATGAACCACTGAATCTGTTACTCCCCAAATCAATGTCCACCAACTCA